TCAGTTCTGTGAAATATCGATAATCCGCAGAGAGTACCCTAGGAATCCCAGAGAAGTATCTTGTCCATTGAAAGAAAACTGCGAAAGGATGAGGGATTACTGTGTAACCAGTTCAGTAAATAAGCGGGTTAGGTTTAGTAACCAAGCTTGGAAATCTACTAAAGAAATTTTTAATGCAGAATTTGAAGCTGCTCCTGTCAAGGTGCACAGCTTCACAAACTTCTGACACCAAAGTGTCCATTTAGGTAGCCGTTTTTCAGGGTTTTGCTTGTCTATTTGCAGTTCCTTGAAATTCCAGAACCAACTACTGATATCCCAGAGTCCTATAAAACAAACCTTCCTCCAGGATTCGGCATTACGCATTAAATTACTAAATAATTAACCAAATTGTAATAAGAAGGATGGGTTTTACCTGAAAATAATTTTCATGGTTTTATTAGAAAATTGCTAAGAAGTTGGTTACTCTTGCTTTTTGCTCAGACCGGAAAATTTCATTGTAAGTAACCCAACACTCATCTTGCGTGATCAGCGGAACCAAGCGGATGGCGAGAAGGCCCGTAACGAAGGGACACGCCTTTCTACTCAGAGCTGTTGTTGTGTGGGTAAAGCGTCGTGCGACCGTTTTGTGTGAGTAACAGTCGGTTAGTAGCCAGAGCAAAAGTCGGTGCGTGAGATGCACTGGAGGAGTTAAAAAGCCGGGCTTTCACGCAATTCGTCCGTCAGTAATGAGTAACCGTCATGGAAATCACGTGATGAATTCCATTGCGATGGTAACTTTGGTACGTGACATCAAGCAGCACCATGTTTGAAAGGTGCTCACAAGCACACTGATTTATGAACTCTTTTACCAAATAAATAAATAAATGAAAATTACTACAAGGATACCTGTTGAATATGTTTTCAGCAGCCAGCCTTTAGTCACTTGTGCGACTCCAAATCTCGGCATGGCATATTTAAAAATACGGTCTCTCCCAAGCATACATCCGAAAAAGAACGATGTTAAAAAACGCACACAGAAACGAGTTTTTCAGATCTCGTAAACCCTATTTGGGGTACAGGGCCCCCTTTTTTAAGATCATCGTGGTCAATTGTGTGCGTGTGATCGCACAAGTGGGATTTGCAAATTAGGAATCTGTCAGAGCCATGTCAGACAAGTTGGCTGTCCGCTAAGGAGTTTCCGTGATGTCTGACGCCACGCTCCCAGCTAAAATGCCAGACCAAAGGGGAAAGGTCATAAAAACGTCGCCGGAAAACAGTTGATTTAACCGTCAAAAATGGTGAGTCACACCACTGCTGCCATTTTTCCATCGGATCACATTTTCAATGAAACTCTTATCTCTTACTGCTGGGGCTCTGAAATACTTTGATAGAAATCAAAAAGACCAGAGACTTTCAAAGCCAGTTGCTTGCCAGCACTTCTTGTCGCCGTTAGATTTGCTGCTCGTTGTGTTCGCACTGCAATAGAGTCTTCGATGGATTACTTCCAGGTCATTTGAAAGATGATTCATAGGTCCCTCGTCGTTTGAGAAGTTATTTTATCCTGAATTTAGGCACAGGTGACGAGTTATCAGTAAACAACTCAGTGCTAATTGCAATGTCATGTTTTCGAACTGAAACGACAAAGCAGAGTTGGTGGCTTTTTTGTAATTGTGTCGACATTTTGGTGATATTACAACCGAGTAGCTGAGTGATCTTCGGCCATAATTACAAAAACCGAAAGTTGTTTTAGATATATCAAACGTAAACTTACAAGTCTAAGGAAATTAGAACGAAATGAAGATAAATAAAGTAAGCTGTAGACTTGTTAAATTTCACTTCCATTGAAACGTAAAAACCTTTTATCATTATTGATCAAACATTATTCAAGTGAACCCATTAGTGAGACACGAAGCCTTCTAAAGCGGTGAAGTGTTAGAAAAATTCCACGCGTGATTCCCTCTATTCGCACTAGAGCACGTTTCAAGACAAATTGGAACAGTTTTTCCAATGTCCTATTTGTGCCCATATTAAAAACTTGTGGATTAAGTTAGTGAGATTTCCCTTGTTATTTACTTTTACAGTTATACAGGCCAAATAACAGCTTGCATCTGATGTGAATGCAACATGATACACAAATTCATATCCTTTATCCTTAAAGAACCATGACAAGCGTTTTTGAACATTGTCGTGGCAGGAAGGAGTAGATATCTTACTATTGTTTCTCCTGACGAGACCGCGCCAAAAGGTTCGTGGACACGTAAAAAGCGACTTACAGCAGTGACGATTCGAGTCGCCGACGAGCTGCCTAATGCCATGACGTGAGGCTGTACAGTCACACCCTTAAAGTTGCAGATACAACTAGAAGAGAGCCAACTTGGCCAGTCCAAATCCCAAGTCTCAGCAGCCATGGTAGAACGTTGCTATCCATATCAATAGGCCATGGTTTCGAAATCGGTTTTAATCAAGCGGCACCTGGGTGTGGGAAACCATGGCTAGAATGATGTCATCCCTCACACTTCCCTAGAATTTCACAACCGGTTGTGGTAATTAATATTTGCGTTCTATCTAACAGGCAAGTGGCATTTAATTACATTCTCCTGCTTGCGATTTAACAAATTTGGATCCACTTGAACGTTTATTCGAACTTTTTAACAAACGTTAACAGTGGTCCCTTTGGCGAGACTCAAGGGAATTCTCAACTATCACGCCAACTGCAAACAGAAAACCTAATGGTGTGATCCTCGGGCTTTGCACGGCTAGTTAACTTCCTGACGAAATTCACATGAGTTAAGAAGTTAGGAATCATGTGTAAAGCATGATATCAGTTTCCAGAACCAATGGTTCACCTATGCAAAGTAGTATTCTTTGGGAAAAATATTCGCATATTCTAGTCCTCAGACTTTCCCAAGGTGTGGAACGTTTCCAGACACGTCGGCTCCTTTAATTTAGTCCGTAATGACAAAGTTTTACAGCTAGTTCTAGCAGCCATTCTGACTTGCTTGCCTTTAAGTTGAAAGAACACATTGTAGGCGCTGTAAACAGAGTCGCTCAAGCTATTTGATTTGTCTTGTATTAACTCGAAACACTGCGTCTACTTACCGCAGCTTGGACCCGGGCCCGTGTCAGAATGTTTAATCCACAAGATAACATGATTTTGAGCAAAGGTCTTTGCATCTTTAAAAACTACACCAGGGCCGGTGATTTACACTGACACAGCCCCGACTGAAGGAAGAGTAGAACGGTAGATGGCGCGTAGCTCAATCAACTCATAAAAGCAGTAGCGGAGTGTGTGTGTACAGGATAACGAATGCGATTATGCAGCTTCGCTAAGCATCGATCCCTGGACGGAGCCGAGTTGCGTGAAGTGCACTCACTGCGTGAAAATCGATTGATTTGTGTTCGCTCGCGCTTGCAAACTGCGCTCGCCTGCTGCTCGCCGCAATGGTCTAATGCTTTAGCCACCATTCTCACGTGTCCGGGGCCAAAATCACAAGGCGGATTCAAATTTCGATTCCTGCACTAACACACGAGATTACTAAATACGACTATCCTGTGTACTTACAGGAACGATCTTTGGATAGGTCAGAGAAATCTCCCGTAGCCATCAACATTGCGTGTCATTGAGGACAGAAACAAAACCTGGCTAAAGTGAACGGAGTCAGAAGAGAAACCAATCAATGGGAGTACTCGACTTCCTGGAATTCCCTGTGGAACACGGGTGGTAGTCAAATGAAAACAAATTTAGTTCAGAATATTTAAAACTTGAGTTCCAACCTCTGAAGCTATTCTCAAGAAGCAGACTTTGAGCTCATTTTGGTGTTTACTGTGGAACGAACTGGCTCGGCTGGTCTTTGACCAATATATACTTTTTCCCGTCTTTGTTATTTGTTGGGAAAAGTTAGTTGGGAGACTATGCCAAAGGGCCACTAAATGTGGTATTTGCGCGACGTTGGCGCAATCAAAGACTGACACACTTAACTGTCTTGACCATGATGGTGTAGCGGGCCCCGGTGCGGTTTTAGAAATCACACCAGGGACGGCGAGTTACACTGACAAGGCCTCGACCGCAAGAAGAGTCGAACTGTAGATGGCGCGTAGCTCAATCAACTCATAAAAACAGTGTCGGAGTGTGTTTTGTGCAGGATAACGAGTGCGTTTTTATAGCTTCTCTGAGCATCGATCCCTGAACGAGCAGAGTTGCGTGAAGTGCCTTCCTGACACTCACTGTAAAAATCGATTGATTTGTGTTCGCTCGCGCTTGCCAACTGCGCTCGCCTGCTGTTCGCTACAAATTTTTGCAAATCAGAAAGTTGCATTTTCAGATTTCGATATAACTGACCGGCGAAACTTACGCAATAATGTGTGAATTTAAGACATATGCAAACAAGAATAACTCGCTTTACTTATGAGAAAAATAGATTTTGCTCCAACAATTTGGTAAAGGCATTGAGTTTTACGTATTTAAATGAGTTTGGATAAGGGTAGTCAGAGAGAACGATTGTCAACTATTTCAATTTGGTGTGAAATATTAATGTACAATAACTTGCAGATTCTGAAAACATTATATTTGCGCGTCTTAACTCCGTACTTATGAGATTTGGACAAGGGTTTTGATCTTTAAGGCCACTTCTGGGCGACTAGATAGGGAAATAAATCAGGGAACGCTACTCCTAATTCATTAGTAATAGTTCTGTACAAATGACATTTATTTGACAGTTGCAGAGCCGAAGTGACACAATTTTCCTGCCCTAATACTTGGTACTCTCCAACTAATGCGCGTTTCATTTCGAATGCAGTTGATTATGCTTACTGTTTATCTCATAACATGCACCTCAGAAATCCCATGCGGTTAAGCATTTGAATAATAACATACTAAACCTTTTCAGATCTATCAAAACACAGAAAAGAAACTGACAGTTGAGATGCCTATTAATGACAAATAAACTTAAATGACCATTAAATACAAATTTTAATGCAACTAAAAATACTCTGAAGGCCAAGGGCACAAACATCGGCAACATTTATGTAAATTCTAATGGAAGGGTATTCACACGGCTTGCATCGTGCATTAATTCATCGTAAGCGTCCTGTTTTGTGTACTTTAAGTTACCCTTTGTCCTTTGTGATTCTACCATAGCCATCAACTCTTCGTCGGTCGCACAAGGCTTCCACGGGCCATTCTTGTGCTGAAGTGACTTAGGGAGTCTGCTATTCCAGGTGTTCCATTGCTTCAGGCACCTGGGTTCGTGCCACTGCCAGGAACTCATTGTATAACGTCTCCCACAGATGTAGCAGAGCTTCCCAGGGGGTCTGATTGGGGCTTTGTGTAGCTTCTCCAACTTTATCAACTCGTGCCTTCGTCTGTCCTCTTCCTTTTTCCTCGCGAGGCAAATACTGGAATGAAATTTCAGTGACCGCTGAGAGTAGATTTTCTGACATGTGGGGCATACCACGATGGCTTTGAATCCAGGTGTTCCCTTACAGGATTCTCCTTCAACTCGAGTGCCCTTTTGGTAGGATAATTTAGGCTTGGATCCATTGCTGTCACGTCGTTTGGGTGCTGAAATATCGCTAATCTTACTCAGGTTTCGGGGAAGGGTTGCAAGCTTGGTGTGGATTGGGCTTACTTCTTCTAATTCGCTGACCAGCGATAGGTGTGGTTCCGAAGGTTTTGAGGTGATCTGAGGGGGAATGCCGTCGCTACTCCTTGAGGTGTCATCATGACTAGTTGTATTAAAATTGTTTCGAAAAGCTGGCGCATCAGTTTTACTTCTGTCTATCCTCTGAAATAGCGGGGTTTTCGGCGAGGTATCGGTGCTGATGTTGCTGGAATTTGAACTTGCGGTACGAAGCTGACGAATCCTGTGAACTTTGTTAACCTCAAGTTCACGCGTCTGAGACAGCGATCTACAAGCGGCGGTATTGGTGTCTTGTAATAAGAAATTCATTTGAAAGCGAACATAGTGCAGCTTGCAAAGACGAAACTACCAAAGCAAAAGGCCCGGTTTTGCAGCCAATGTGTGCGTCACGTGACTGATCGACCAGGACACTTTGAAGGCCACAAACTTCACGTGGGGGGGGGCACACTCGTAATGAGCAACTTTTGACAGCATCTCGATGCGAAGCAATTAGTTTTGCAAAGCTTCGACATACTAACAGTGTTTCCATTCGACGTGCAATTATCGCTGTACTGGGAAGCGTCGGTGAGCTCCACGGCCTCCAGCTTGCAGGCTGTGGGCTCATGTCACATTTCAGGTAGGTTGGATAGCCTCGTGGAGCTGAAATCCCAGCTTGATCAAGATTTCGTACCGTGCATACTTGTAGGCAACCTTGACTGGAGCTGATTGGCTGTTTTCCGTTACGATAGATTCCATTTGATCATGTCATCATACCTATTATTCCAGGACCAAGAACATTTAGTTGACATTGGCTAGACCATACTACACATGTGATATTCACTGTTTAAACTGCAAAATTTTAATGTTGCCATGGCTGATTACAGTTTCGATGTTACGGAAAACAGCGTCGTCAATTTACAGACGATGACCAGGAATCCGGTTGTACAAATTTTTTTGACTTCCACCAAATAATATTAGCGAGACAAGTGAAATGTTTGTTATGCGCTGATTAAGCCTGCTCATTCAGTCCTGAACTACCCTCATAAAAGCCTATTTACCAGTAAAACGGTTCTGGAATAATAACATGTCCACCCTAAGGATCCTCAAACATGTTCTAAATGTTCTTTAAAATGTATTGTTCTCTTAATGCTAAGTCGCTTTGTATAGAGATTACTTGATGCGATCAAAGTTCAAACTCTTCCGGTTCCTTGTGTCTGCCCAGCCTTGTGGACTGCCACTCAGCCCTGTCTCTGGGTCCAGCCCGAAAAACAACTCGAATGTCTATCTTGGATTTCCTCTTCGTGCATAAACAAACCCACTACCTCTTTACCGTTAAAATCCGCTGACTCGAGCACAGAACCTATAAATACCGGTGAATTGCCATAGAAAAAATACTCGAATTCAGCCCACCCCCAGTTAACGGTTGAGTCTTTATCTACTTCGGTCTTCTCATTCTTCTCTAGATGCTTGGTATCGGATCTGGTGCGAGATCCACATCGGGGCCAGCGACACTACCAACAGACAGTGTCTACATACTGTTACTGCAAGCCTTTAGTGCGTTTCTACAACATCTCTACTGGGAAGCCATTCAACCAACGCCCAAATTCATTAACGTTAATGATAGAATTTGCCCTTGGACGCAGAAATTGAGGCCTTTTGGTGAGATTTACGTACAAAACTTGGAAAACAGTGTCTCCTTTTGGGATATGGATTAGAACCTGCACTGCAAGCTGCTTTAAACTAGTTCCGCAACAAACACAATGAACAGGTTATCATTGGTCATGTCACTCATTAAGCAAGCTGAACTAATGGCGACCTTGCCTGAATGCTCTCTTCCAATTAATGTCTGCTATTTACTTGCATAAGGTTGTTAGCGATGGCAGTGATTTAAGATAGGAAAGGGGTGAACCTGACCACCACAATTAACCCAAATGCCGAAGACTGAAACACGGGCTGAAGGCCGAAGGTGTGCGGTTGGTAAATCATCAATTTTTTTTACATAATAACCCTACCAACGCGTTTCCTCTGATTAACTGGACTTTGTAGTTAAATTTTCTCATAATCAAACAAAGCAATATTGTAGATGTCAAGGCTTATTTTCTTTAGAATCTGAGCTGATTGTCGCCTGTTAAGGATGGACTCGAAATGCCTTACGAGATGACAAAGATGAAGTGAATTTTCGGACAACGCCTAACTGTTTGCTTAAAGGGATATCTGATGCTTGACACGCCCTCTCGCTTAGGGTAATGACTCAAATTTGCAGGTCGACCAGGACTGACCACCCTCTGAAAGCAGGGGTTCTCATAGTTTTTTGTCATTTAATGGCTAACTTTGTTCAATTCCCCCTTCAGCCATGTTACAATGTGTATCATTGTGCGCATATTGAATGACTGGCAACAATTTTCACCGGCCGTTCTGTGAGATTAACTTAAAAGCACAGCAACAAGAAAAGCTTGGCGACCGGGCGGCGTTAATTAATTAAGGCAAGTCATGCAAAGTCAGAGAGCTAAGAAGTAAAGCTCAGCAGAATAGCGATGGGGGTCTCATAAGCAGTTGTTTTGTCGTTGCTGGTTGCATCTTCCGTCGGTGAAGATGAAAGCAAAGTAACCATCGTGTTTTTCTACACTGAATTGCGATGTCTTTCTCACGTGATGTGCTTTACTTTTTTCAAGTCTGTCAAAATTTATGAAGGGTGGTAACCTGTATTAACATTTGCTGTGATTCACTTTAAGTCCACGTTATTCGTTATCGAGAATACGGTTTAAGCCAAAGCCGTGAAAATGACAGATCCAGATCAGCGTGGTGGGTGCGTATAACAAGAAGGGTAAATTTGTAAGTCAGATGTGAATACCACACACGAGGTAGAAATGAGGCCCACTGCAGACGACTGCTCAGAGAGCTCAAACTGACAAGAACTTGCCTTTTCTCGTTCAGTCTGTGGAAACGCTTTCAGATAACAAAAGGACCCACTAGGAGAGATCACAGGGGGTGCAGGGGTGCCTTAGCAGTCTAAACGACGCGCTGACAAAGGTGTACCCAGACTGGGGACCAGGATTAGCGCCAACATCCATTTTCACTCAATTGACTATTTGATTGAGCATTTCTAAAAGCGCCTTACATAAACCTTTAGCCCATGCCATTCATAGCTTGCCGTGTTTTCAAACAATGTACTTATTGTAGAGAATTTGAAAATAACTTGAAGCCTGTCTTGTCGTGTCCTTTCATGGTGTGTGTGTGCGTTTGGAAGGCTTCCACTGTAGTTAGGCGAGGCGTGAGAAGTTTGCAGTGCACGAGGGTGCAATTCGGAAGGTGGGTGGGGGCCTGCCAACATAATTGTCAAAAACAAATCTCGCACGCACTGACGCACCGAAGAAGAAGCCGTTGATATCAAATCAACGAGCAAACATTTTGCGATGTAAAACGCCAGGTATGCACTGCCACCAAACATGTCAGCGATTTCTCACCGCATCTGACTAGAACCACACATCCGAAGACAGCAATCAATCAATCAGTCGGGTGTCACTCCCTTATTTTCGTCGGATTGAATGTCTAAAATGACCATCAAAACTGTCAGTACTGATATCTTGAATTGGGAACTACTTCTGTCTGAACTACTTCTTTAGCGAATCCACTTCAAGTCACGAATATAGGGAATTCCGTTTTCAGATGTTAAGTAAGCAAGTCTTTAACTCGTTAGCCTCGTTAGAATCACACGTACACTTCAGTTAAGAACTGGAGGGGTTTGGGTGTGGACAAATTTCCAGCCGAGCTATTGGATCCTGGTGAATGAGACACCATTGGTAGACACAACGCAAGGAACTTGAACTTGCACAGCCCATGCGAAATGAAATGAGAACTGTGGAGTTTCATGCCGCAACCTGGTGAATCCCAACAGACAAAGAGCAGTCAATCATCTAATATGAGGGAAATGCCTTCAGGTGTACAGCAGTTGCGAAAATTTGAAAGGAGTAGATGTGTATGTGTCACCTCGGGCATCGACGAACAGCCATTGGGAAACTTTGCGCTACTCAGTCAACGTCGCCGGTTGGTTAGTGGGCCCGCCATGACAGTCACGTGATGCAAATCAATATATTACAGGTACAAACTGAATCGCGCGAATCCAGGTCTGAGGCAAATCCAGTCCACTGTGCCGCGAAGGGGCTACTGAGAGTGCAAAAATGGCAACGAAGCAGCCGAGCAACTCAGAAGACACTAATGTCTCCAATTCCTCAGGATGGGAACCCTCCAAAAATATGTATTGTCAAACGAGACTTGTGAGTTAACATTGCATCTTTTGGGTTACGGATATATTTTAAAGCCAAGCAGTAGCCTCACTATCCTAGAAATGGCCAGATAGTTTAACTTAACACCTTCCTAGTTGCCAATCGACATAACATTTGAGGTACTTGAGTAGAGGGGCTCACAGATTTCGACGCTTGAGGGCCCCAAAGAACATGTTTCTACTTACTAATTTTCCCTACTTTGCAATGAGAATCGAAAAAAATAATCTAGTTGTCGACGATGATCCCCAAAACACATTGCTTGAGGCGTCGCCTAATCAATGAAAGAAATGCCCGATAATGTTACTTTAAAAGATGAAGTTTGTATCATAGCATGAATCCAGTAATTTGAGTTGCATGTTTCACCAAGAAAGTATTCATAACTGTAAAACAGCTTCAGTAGTCTCTAGGTTTAAAGACAAAGGAGAGTCTTTTCATGACCGTTGACTTCGCTAAATATCTATATGCTATTTCTAGTTTTTACTGCTGAATGATTCCAGTCATGATGACCATCGGAGATTTATTAAATGGGCAGGGATGACCGAGGCAAGATGTTTAAACACCGACAGAGAAATGCAACTACCTACCATGTTTAAATACGTCACTACTTATGAACTTACGATGTATAAAGCTGGAGTGGATTTTATATTCAGTTCATATTGGGTCGATTTTAGTCGTATTTAGTAACTAATAACAAATTTTCTGCTCTGGCTACAAGAGCAGCTTGGTTTTGTTCCCTAAAAGAAATGGGGTTCTAGTTTGATTTTCTGCAACCCCTTCTGACTCATCCAATTTTGTCAGGTAAAATCATATTTTACTGAAATAGATTCAGTAGAATTTTTTTGGCGAAATTCTTGATTGATCAGTGTTCATGGAATTGGTAGTCTGGCTAACGTGGCCACAAGAAATCTAACGTCTTTAACCACTCTGTCTTTCCTGATTTAGGACATCCCAAAGAACACTTGTCAGACTCTGGTGCTTATACTCTTCAATCAAGCAGAGAACTACCACGGAGCCTTCCGGAACGAGATGATCATTAACACTCCAATTTTCAGGGCCTATGGACATGGGGAATTCCTGGGCATCTCCAAGTGTCTACGTTGCATTGACGGCTGTTTCCCCAGCAACACAGGCGTATCGGTGCTTAGCTTCGATAATTATGAGGAGGCTGTTAAGTGCTTGGAGTCAAAGACCGAAATTCGGGAGCTTAATTGGATGGGAAACCCAGAGATGTACTTTGTGCCTTTGTGCAATCCCATCCGACATCTCAGTGGTAAGTGGTCTCATAAAGATACCAATTGATAACTTCATATATTTGTTAATCGATGCAGTTAACTTGCATCTCAAAAGAGCCATGTAGCAGAGGAAATGTTAAGTCTATCCCTTTGAGAAATCAGGGTAAATAGAGATTGAAAGCGACACCAGTGAGGTTTGCGTTCTTGGTTGATACCCATCGAAATGAGAAGCTGAACTCTCCCCGAGATGTTTTATACTCAGTCACTGATTGGTCCACGATTATCGATTGGGACAGGTTTAAGTTAATTAATGGCTAAACAATCTCAGAAACAGATTTATACGTTAAATCTTTGATTTCTTGGTTTATTCCCAGTCTGATGGCTGTAAAGTTGAAGGTGGCATTTTGCGGATCCAGCAATGACTGTGTAGATAATACATTAGCGACTAAATAGACCAAATGCCTAAAAGTCCTGCTTGTGAGTTCTATTAAATTACTTTGATATACTGTGAGACATTGCTAATCACATTAACTCCACCAGTGCCGTTAGTATCGCTCTAGAAAACGTCGGTTGGAATCTCCAAGCAAACCCCTCGAAGTCAACCAAAGGACTTTGTTTTATTTACTTTATTTGCTTATACTGGATAATTAAAACAAACTTGATTGGAATCCTCATTGCGTTGAATAGCTATCATTTGACCGAAACACCATCGTGACCCTAAGGATCGCTTTTCGAGTTGACTATCCTCATGAAAATATAGACTAGAAACAGGAGATCTGAAGTTCCTACAACGACGCCTGCAACTACACCATTAAACTCAACGTGTGGTGTCAAGTAAACTAAGCTTTAATGTACTCTGGTTGGGGTAACTAGCTAACAGTTCAGAATTCTTTCCTTATTCTTAATAAGTACTGTTCGCTTTGCCCCTCCAGACTTCCAGTTCCTACAAATGGATATCTACGACATTAAAAATGGTGTCAACTTTGTCAAATACATCAACACTGTTGAGAATTTGGTCCAGAAGAATGGCGGCTTGGTAATTGCAGGAACCACGGAAACTGGGAAATTCCGAGGGATGCGCCGACCCATGTACATGGTTTTGCAGCAGTGGCAGACTATTCAACAGGTGGAACAATTCAACAGCGAGATTTCACCCATCCTTCGCGACGCTGGTGCAGCTTGTTCAACACGCGTAGTGTTCGAAATGGACGCCTACTGCTGTGCTTGCATTCGATAGATGGAGAGGAGATTTTATTAATCAAATACAGTAAAGAAAGTCCACTGCTCTCAAATAACTAGAGAGCTACTAATAAGTCTCCCCTATTTTGGTCATGCTGGACATAAACCCATCACAATGAGTCGCTTAGATAAATTTTAATTTGCAAAAAAACCTACCACTACAGGAATTCATCAGGCTTGTTTCACTAAGGTCCAGACAGAAGTCTTAGGACTCATAGAGCAAAGATAGAATCTAGCTCAAGCGAACCTACATTCAGATGCGGGAAGATGGTTGAATTAATGTGGAAACGAATACCGCTTGAACTTGGTGGTTCAGCTTGCTTGATCACACATTAACGATCAATAAAAATTCCTACGCCATGGAAAAAAATTAGGTATTGTGGACTCGTCGTACCAATGAGGACAGGGAGAAGACCATGAATATCCTTTCCTTAGAAGTTTTTGTGTACTTTTCTAACACATTACAATAATGGTACATTCCAGAGATTTCAGAATGCTGAATCACGATTTAGGACAGCATAGCGGATGCTTGCTACAAGATTAACTTTCAATCTCGTGAAATTGAATTGACTGTTCAATTCCACGTGGCCTCCCCATCCTAATATTTCATCTACTTGGTTTGATTCTCCTAGTCTGAAAACAGATCAAACAGGTTGGCAAAGATTGTGATTGGTTTTTCACGTGGTTCATGTAGGTACAAGTAAGCCTTAAAAATTTTAATTAATTTAAAAGCGTAATTAGTACAGAGACCTGGATGCATCACACTTTGTACATGCCTCAGAACCATTTAGATACAAACAGTAGACATTACGTGACCTAGGAGTTTGGCAGCGGAATAAACAGATCGACAACACCAATTTGAGGCCAATGCGTCTTCATCATCTCCTATTCCAGAATCGCCTGTTTGAGAGGCGAGAAAAGCCAGGCGCACTGTAGTGTGTGAGCTAGCTCTGGTCCATTTGTATTAATGTGTAAATTGAAGAGTGTATCGAGTAGGCATTTTAATACTGAACATATGTCACTCCTATAATTGTTAATGCAAAACGTTATTAGTTTACGCATCTGCTGTATCTGGAGTCCGGCCTAAGTTAGCAACTGCTTCGGTTGTCGGACCGTGCACATAGGCCGTGGTGGATCGTACTGAGCCACTTCCATTAACACGGTCGTTGCACATTCATTCTCGCAACGCTTCGCTTTTCACAGTGTCCCTATCGACCATGTCGAATCGTTTGTTTATGCCTCCTTGTGCACGTACCTTCCGCTCCCGCTGCTCATTCCGCCCAACTGGCCATTTAAACATTTGTACTTTTACAAGTTCGTCCAGGCTAGAGTGATCAATAACCGGTTGTCTCCACTCATCTGGCCATTCAAACATTTGTACTTTTACAAGTTCATCCAGGCTGGACTGATCAATAACCGGTTGTCTCGAAATTTCTGGCCCTGTTTACCTTCCCAGAAACCTGTGTAGCGTAATCGGGCCAATACAGCGCAGTCACTGAAGTGGTTCAAGACCACATACCTCGGCTTTCAAGAAATCCAGTAAGGTCTAAACCAATGACGTTATTACATATGCTGAAAGAAAATAATTGTACAGTTTTAGCCACGCCATTCTTCGGTGCATAAAAATTGTCCAAGTCACAGCAATAAAATTGATTGAACGAACTGGTCCACGGTAATTGGTATTTGGTGAAACCCAGTGTATTAATTCTGCTAACATTTGTGAGGCCATTTGGCAGAAATCACTAAAGTGTGTCCAATCACTTTTGGGGTACTCGCGTAAACACTTAGTTGGGTGGTATCTATGGTCTCCTATATATCTTTTTCATAAAATTCGAAGGTCTTATTTTGCTTTCATCCAAATAAAAAGTTAATGTGCGGCAACGTTTTCTTTGTAAGTGATGGGAGAACCTGATCTGTTTCCTCAAACCGATGCTACCGTCGTTGCATGGCTGATTCCCATGCCCACTCACTCCCGCGCATTTCCTGTTGAAAGACTTGACCCTTACCCTGGATTCAACCTAATGGACTACAATTTTTGTCCAAAACTCTCTCCGCATGTCTAAATAAACCTCAGTAAGCCTCTGTCTTGGCGAACCAATGATACACGCTGATTACGCATCTGCAATATAAATATGCACGCACAAACACAACGCAACAGCACCCAGATACAGCGACCTAATAAACAGTTGAGCTTCCGTCGGCCTTCCTACTTTCTGCCACTTCTGGGTACTTGGAGTGGGGGCCGCAACGGCAATGCTCATTCCGTTGTCCCGGTGTGGGCATTATTCTACTTGTTGAAAGCTTAAAACATCTCGACAGATAACAAGAGGCCTAAAATGCTTTGGTCTATTGATGGTAAGATCGGTCCATAGGATCTGGAAATAGCATAATGACACCAACTTTAATAGTTCACCATTTCTTATGCTACATAATCCGTTAAGAGGTTGAAACGTTAGGTAGCCAAGTGGTTTATGCTTTCAGGAATATCATCGATATTTTACTCCACAGAACACAAGGGACTCTAGACAGTCTTTAGGTTGTCTACATGGAAACTTGTGTATTTCAAGTTTTGAATGAGGTTTATGGAAGTCAGATAAAACTAATGTCTGTGTTTAAAGAAGGGAGGCAAAAATGTGGATACGATTTAGAAAAGGCGTTGTTCCTCTTGTGATCATGTCAACATACATCTGTGTAATGAAATATAGGCATTTTGAGTGGCCTAGTTAAAAGTGTATGATGCAAAATCGATTGATAAATGTCTACGAGAGACATCAATTGCAAATTGATATTTAGGAGCTTAAGAATATAACTGACGAAAAAGCAATTTATCGACGTATTCTTTTCGTCATTAAATTGTAATGTTAAATGTAGCTTCCTATGCATGGGTAGATTCACGACAATCAAATTGTTACATGGGAGCAATGCAGCTCCTTTCAGATGCCTGAATGTGTAGATGTCTTGCAAAACGTAGTAGAATTAGACATGCACACAATACCAAGGGTAAATAAGTGATGCATGGAGAGTAGGCCTTAGAACATTCTTAAATGCATGTTGCTTTCCAAAGAAACACCTAACTGCGATCAACAGAAAGGGTTTTGAGTGACTCAATCAGGCTGCTAGACGTACGAAAATTCCACATGGTTAATTCAATCTTTGTGTAGTTCTGTCTTCGAAAAGGATTTAAGTAGACTTTTTTTCAACGACTAACTCTAGTATATTTAATATGCTCAAAAGCATGTTGTTAAGTCGCTTTCTTATTGAGTTGCATAAAAGAAGTGCGAAGCAGTTCTGGGTTTGATAGCTTGATCTAAAAGTCATTATAAAGGTTTCTTGGTTATAATGTGGACTTAGACAAGATATATTTGGAAGTCAAAATGCACTGTTTACTATTTTTACAGGTTAAAATATTCGTAAGGGTTTCAATTATGTTCAGTTAATGGTCGCAGAACCTTTACAATGCAAGGTTCCGACTGCGAAATATCCCCAGTAAAGTCGCCTGCTCTCACTGCCGAATTCCCAAGCAGCAGAGAATACTTGTAATATTCATCGGTTTTACTCTCGAACATGTACTGTAGATAATTTTATGGAGCCACAAATTTGGAGGCTAAGTTTTAATCAAAATGAATTCGAAAAAAAAAGAATTTGTCGACCGCATATTGTCATATATTTCATTAAACAACACGAAAAACTCTATAAGAATGTCAGCACACGTCAATAACCCAAAGTAAGTGAGAGTCGATAAAGTACACTAAGCTCTCCACTAAAAGCTATATGAAAAGTTAGCATCATTCGTTTCAAAGTTGTTAATAAATTAGAGTTAAGAACTCTATCTAGGCAGTCAATTTTGGATATTGCTTAAAGACTACAAAAAACCTAAAAGGTATAATTAAAAAGTATGCATGCATGGAAATGTTTATTTAAAAATATCTCCTATATGTTATTATAAGAGCATGGAATAAATTAAAATTTAGCTTTTAATAGATAAATCAATAGAACCGTTAAAAATTAAATTATAAAATAAAAATACGGTCACATTGTTTTTGTTATTTTACTGCTTACAACTTTCATAATTAAAATGCTATTGGTTTGTTTTTCTAATTCACATGCACAAACCTAATAAACTATAATCGCTAATTCTATTGGTTGGGAAATTCCTATTTGGCCTAGTCGCACCTCACAGAGCGCGCAAATCTCAAAGGGCGTCGTTCTTGACTTGTATTTCCCGTATTGGTTTCGTCCCAGAAAATGATTGAATATGCCAGGCCTTGTACTGGGGAACCTTTTTATGAGTGTTTCGAAGAAATATCGCTTAAAAATGCTGTACTTACCTACATGTCGTTCTTAATACTGAATCTTCTTGGAAGACTCCAGGACTTCCTACGCAAATACGGTTTTCTTAACAACCCTTCTGCCAAAGAAAAAGAACTAACAAAGTCATTTGTTCCACTGTATTCGGACTATGAAGCCTTTTATACAAGAAATCTTTATCGACGTGCTCGTGACTGCTGGAATCGCCCCATTTGTTCTGTACCAGGACCGGAAATGGTGCTGATGGACCGTATCTCAACAGATAGTTGTTGGACATTTACGTACGTAGTGTCTTTGATTGAGCAAATTATTCAGCTCAATAGTTATATACAGTTAATATGTTTTCTACACCCTGTATATTTTCTGCGTAGCGTTCACGTTTGCTAAATGAAGTGGGAGAGCTATGTCGTGGTAGTAAAATATTTCGCATGCATCACTTGTTGTAATGCATATGCTAATTCATAATTTTTTGATTTAAGCATGACTAATACGACCACAAAAGTGTTGAACTTTGGCTCTTACAATTACCTCGGATTTGCCGAGACATCCGGACCTTGCATCGACGCCGATGTAAAGTCCATCGAGAAATATGGGCTAGGATTGGCCAGTTCCAGACTTGAGGTTGGTACACTTGACATTCATGAAGAGTTGGAAAAACTTGTCGCTGAATTCGTTGGTCAAGAAGCAGCCATCGTCTTTGGTATGGGATTTGCAACCAATGCCCTCAACATGCCCCGCATTTTTGATAAGGTCAGTATTGTGGCCTTTCTTACCTGTCAATTCATTAATAGAGCAATTTGCAAATATCGATTCCTAAGTAATTAGGCTAGTTAAATCATTTTATGTGCATAACTTCAAGAAAATCCAGAATATGTGACATGATAGCAATATTTCAACTTTTATAAAATTCACTAAATGAGGAACTCTAATTTTGTACCTTTAATCAACTTATACTGTATTGTGTTCGCACAGTTTAAAACGCAGGATTTTTTTCTGTCTAAATGTCCAAATACGATAGACGTTATTACTTGGTATTTGGATTGTTTAATTTTAAACGACAACCTGATCTACCGTAGATACTAATGAAGTACGGCGGTTTAGTGCTATGAGTGTAGTTCTAGCATCTCCTGATGCATACTGACTTTATTAATACCTATTATTATAACACTTTGCATTGTTGTAAAGAGATGGTTTATTTTAATATCCTGTAGTAAATTGAGTCACTGATGCACTGCCAAATGCATAATTTTGTGATCGCAGACTACTACATAGCGTGGGTTTGTGTTTGTCTTACTTTGGTGCCACGAATTTGCTGACAAAATATCAGTCCCGCGGTACCCAGAGGAGTTTGAGAAGGCAGTAGATTACGAAAATTAGCCAGTTTTTTAAACCCCCCATAAAAAGTTGTATGCCATATGTGGGCAAGTGAATTTCTGTTAGTTAAAGGTGTAAATGGTGGGGCAGTATAGTTGGAATCCGAGTAAGCTAGTATGGGCAGGATGTCGACCAATAGTCTGATTTGCTACGGTAGTTGCCCCGAGGTAGCCATTGTTTTAGGTGTGGAATCATGACGCCTACTGTAGTTTTCACTCACTTCGCTGACTTGTGGATAAAATATCATTTCAAAGAAGCCAATCTCTAGATAATGACTCTTACCAAGTCGTCACCTGTTTCACCTACGTTTTCGGTCTTGAATGACAGGCTTTCTCATTTCTCCAACCCCTGTAAACAAAAAATTGTGACGTTACTGAAGAAGAGCATGCCCTAATTTCATACGCTTTATCATATGATATACAAGTGATACAGACTTACGGTTTTCAGTTCAAACGAAGTCTTTTGGTACAATGCCCGAAGCTTTACTGCCGTGGAGTTTATCATGGGCTGCTTGATAATTAGTTTCTCTGTCATACAATCATTAGTTGCTTCAACTTTTAAACCAATGCGTTTTGACATTGGAACATTATTTGAGACTGGAAAGTATTAAATTGGGGCGTCCACTTGTATTATGTATGATTTAAGCTAGATTTTTAGGTTTTATAGTAAGAGAGGCATAATTACATATCCGTTTTGATAAAATCTTGAATTGAAAAAGAATCAGCAGTGTTGGTGACATTGAGCACTGTCCGTTTGATATCCTTTAAGCATCTAGTTACATGTAAGGTTCAATTTATAATTTAACTCACAAACGAAGTTTGATAATCGAAGTGCAAAGTAATTAGTCGAATCTCTCAATCCAGAGTAAATGCGCGAATTATTGCAAAAAATCTTTAAATTGATTTAGAAACTCCTCAGACTAAGGGCTTTGTGTGCAGGATGCTTAACCCTTGGTGAATGAGACCTCGGGCACTTTGACCTCAGCTGTGCATCTGCAGATGACTCAGTTGATCTACTATTGAACAAGCACGTGATTGAGGTCGCAGAGTAATGCACATTCTCAGATGACAAAACCATACAAAATCATAACTGGACGTGAACGCTCAATGCCTTACAATGTCCTGCAACGATTAGTTAATTAATGATTCCATCTACAACGAATTTGAGTTTAGCTATTTAAGGCGATGCGGGTAAATTCTAACAGTCAAAAATTCTACAGTTGGCAAGGTTAGTTCCATGGTAATTCCTGTTCGCAAATTTAATCTCCAGTTAAATCTACAGTTGATCTCCAGGCTAATCGTGACTTGCAGCTTACAACGTCCTGGGTCACTGGGGGATCAATCAGGTCTGAGCTGCACCTTCAACATCGCTTTACTACGTTTCGTGGTGTTGGTTTGCACACCCACAACACTCTGAGGACTCCTTTCAATTCACGTGGATTGAAGCTAATTGGCTTGGTAGCAGCTGGTAGTGTGCAAGAAAGTGGGCTTTTCTTGTCTGCACCACCCTCTGCCAGCCAATTCGCAACGCGTTTCACTGACCTGACCTTTAACAGGGTCAAAATGACCCAGCCAAGTCACTATTGGTACGAAGTAGGCAAGATTAGTGATGGGGAGTGATGGTTTCCCGAAAGCAGTTAAATTTGATGACTTGGTGTCATTACACGCCAACTGATTTCATAAGGATATTTCTGACGTTCCCTAAAAGCATTTTTTATGCTCAATCGTAAATCGATTCATCTTTAAGCCACCTCTTTATCGTTTATTACTAACTCTTTTAGACATATTATTTGTCCTAATTTGAACATTTGCGCCCTCCGACATATGAAATTTACGCTGAGTACTTAAAATGAACTCTGAATTGGGCGCTCCCATGTTTTATTGTTATTTAAAGCTTCGGTTCATTTTCGAAGTGGTTTAATGGGCCTATATGCTCGGTTTGTGGACTTCAACAGTTGTGACATATCGCGCTGTTAATGTGCGTTTGAATAGATTACGTGTACTTTTCTTTCAA